TAGAATTTATGTGAAACAAATTCCTTAGAAGAAAAAAAAATTACTAAAGTTGACTTAATATAGAAGGTGAATGATTGTGTCTATTTTTGAACTCCTAAGTAAAAACTTTCCAGAAGAAAACTCTAGGTCCAGACTATTTAACTGGTGAATTTTACCAAATATTTAAATAGGAAATAATACCAATCCTATACAAACTCTCAGCAAAGAGGGAACACTTATTCATTTATTCTACCAGGCTAGCATTGCTCTGATGCCAAAACCAGACAAAATAATCATAAGAAGAGAAAAATAAAAATCAACATTCCTCAAGAATACTGACATAAAATTCTACATCAAAATATTAACAAATTTAATCTACCAGTATAAAGAAGGTGGGTAATGTATTATGACCAAGTGGGTTTCATGGCAGGAACATAAGGTTGATTTAATGTTCAAAAATCATTAAGCGTAATTTACCATATTTACAAAATATAGGAGAAAAATCATATGATCATGTCAACTGATGCAGAAAAAGCACTAACAAGAATTAAACAAATACAAGATAAAAACTCTCAGCAAATGAGGAAAAAAGGTAACTCTTCAACCTGATAAAGCACATATTTTTTTAAAAAATCAACAACTCTATAACTAACATCATATTCAGTGAATAATGAGTGCTTCTCCCCTAGGATTACGAAAAAGGAAAGACCAATGAATGCTCTCACTACCTCTATTCAACACTATACTGGAGGTCACAGCCAGTGCAATAAGAAAAAGAAATTAAAGGCATACATACCGGTAACAAAGAAGTAAAAACGTCTTTATTACGGATACAATGATCACGGATATAAAAATCGTAAGAATAGGGACACCCAAGTGGCTCAGTGGTTAAGCGCCTGCCTTCAGCCCAGGGCGTAATCCTGGAGTCCCAGGATTGGGTCCCACACTGGACTCCCTGCATGGAGCCTGCTTCTCCCTCTGCCTGTGTCTCTGCCTCTCTCTCATGAATAAGTAAAATCTTTAAATAATAATAATAATAATAATAAAATAAAAAAATAAAAATCCCAAGAATATATTAAGAAGCTACTAGAATTTATTAAGTGAATTTAGCAATATAATAGGACACATGATCAATATATAAAACAAATTATATTTTTATATAATTAGTAACAAGTGAAATGGAAATTTAAAAAATACCATTTACAACAGCTTAGAAACCGTGAAATACTTGGTGTCATATTCAACAAGTATTTGCAAGACCTACACTGAAAAGTACAAAACACTGCTGAGAGAAAGTAAGGAAGATCTAAGTAAGTGGAGACATTCACATGCTCATGCACGGAAGACAACACTGTGAAGGTGTCATTTCTTGCAGAACTGACCTATATGATCAACAATGTCTCAATCAAAATCCCAGCACTGGGGAAATGCAGACTAAAACCAAGAGTGAAATACTATTCATATCACAATACTGAGAAGTATGTACAACAATTGGAATTTCTCATACACTGCTGATCAGTGTATAGTACAACCCATTCAGAAAGTTCTTAAAAAGCTAAACAGATCTTCCTGTGACTCAAGTTTCACTCAAATGGAATTCAAAAGAAAATGAATGAATGAAAAATAGGAGTATAAAAAGGATGGTATGAAAATGTTAACAGCAGTTGTATTCATAATAGTGAAAAGCTGAAAAGAATTCAAATGTCCATGAATAGGAAAATGAGGATTAATGGCACAGTCACAAAACAAAAAGAAACCACTGATATATGCATATGAATTTAGAATCATCTTGTATGAAAGAGGTCAGAGAGAAGAATATACATAAGAGATTCCATTTACATGAAATTCAAGAACTGACAAAAGTCATTCATGGTAACAAATCAAAAAGGAATTTGGGGTAGATAGCCAAGGGGCAAGAAGCTGACTGCAGAGGCAGAAGGGAATTTTGTAAATGCCAGAAATATCTTTAGTGGGGTTATGGTTACTCAGGTGTAGACATTTTTTTCAAAACTTACTAAGCCAAACAGTCCAAATTAGTACATTTTGTTTTTTTATACCTCAGTAAAATTTATTTAAAAAGTAAAAACTAGGGAGGCCTGGGTGGCTCAGTGGTTGCGTGTCTGCCTTTGACTCAGACTGTGATCCCAGGATCCAGGGATTGAGTCCTGCACTAGGTTCCCCACAGGGAGCCTGCTTCTCCTTCTGCCTATGTCTCTGCTTCTCTCTCTGTCTCTCTCATGAATAAACAAAATCTTAAATTTTTTTAATTGGAGTTCAATTTGCTAACATATATCATATCACCCAGTGCTCATCCCATCAAGCACCCCCCTCAGTGCTTATCACCCAGTCACTCCAACCCCCTGCCCACCTCCCTTTCCACCACCCCTTGTTCATTTTTTTTTAAAGTATAAACTAAAATAAAAAAAAAAGTTATAGAAGTCCATGCTCTCCTCTGCCTAAAAGCTCTACGTTACAGTGGGGCAGGCTGAGGGGACCCTCACAAGTCAGCTGGGCAACTACGACCTGGCCCGGTTTTTCAAACTATCCCTCCGACTTCAATGAAGACTCCAAGGAAGTATCTCAGCAAGTCTTTAAGTGGCTCTGTCTTGATACATTTCACTTACTAGTATTTTTTCCTATTTTTGAGTTGATGTAGAGACTTTTTTCCCTTTTTAAATTCAGTTATTTTCTTTTCCTCTATTACCAAAACACATTTCCATCTTTTCTCTGAAGAGTACAATGATTCTCAAGCATGAGGGACATTCTAAAAACACAACTATGAAAATGTTACCAAGCATGAACAGGAACTTTCTTGCCAAGAGCCAGGTAAAAAAGAGCTTTGAGCTTCAAATACAGATACAGTTCTCCCACCCTGACAACCGAAATATCTTGATCTTATTAAATACTGAGGGTTCAGACTACTGGTTGCTGTCAATGAGCCAGTTTCAAAACCATCTGCTTCACATATGGTTAAAACTTTGATCAGTTAGGTGTATCTCTATCATTTCTTCCCAATACTAAGAGGAGCATGACTCCAAAAGTTGTTTTAAGACCATGATATTAGACAAGTTTTTAGGGATGGCAGATCTCTGCCACGTTTCTCTTAAAAACAAAGGGCAGGAACCACAGCAGCTTTTCGACTCACTAATACCGCAAAACAAGGGCATACACATAGCATCTGAAGTGCTTGCTGAGCACACAGCTCAGTGTGATCATCGCGTCCTTGATGTGCGCTCACTACAAATATAAATACTAAGGTATGAAGTAGTTACAGGCACCAAAACACAAGGTTAACTTTTTTTTTTATCTGATGGAACAGTGAATATCAAAACTGTTAACAACTGTGTTCCACCTTCAAGAATAAGAACATCAAAGATGGTGTCATGTACATAATCTTAGTAACATGACATCCATGTAATTCCATAAAAAAAAAATCAGTTAGAAAAAGAAAAAACAAAGGAGAAATTCTTATTCAGAGGCTGGACCCAACACAAAGCCATGTAAGATGGTAACAAGCCCAGTAAATTCAACAAAGGTCTCTGAGTGGCTAGGAAGGACCATGGAGCCCATGCCTGGGCAGAGGGCAGAGCACAGAATCCCTGCCAGACACTGAAAATGCCCTGGAAAAGCAGACTGGAGAAAACATTTCTACTACAAACACACAGTCTGAGGCCACTTAGTATACACAGAACCAATCTCAATCACCACAGTAATTTCTGAAAATACTCTGCATTACTCAACAGTAACAGTATATGATGTTCAGAATGGTGACCCTGAGTCACCAAGAAACATTAAAGTGTACTCAATACCCCTTGCTAAAAACAGCACAATGTACAATGTTTTATGGAGGTGGCTAACGAAGGGTTATAATTTTCATCATTTCCCAGCTTAACGTCCTGAGCTTCAGCTACCTCTCCATGTCAGGCACGTGGAATGCCCCATTTCTACTGATTGTGCTCTGAATATGAACTCCCTCCTGGTGCTTTCTTTGTTCAAATGGTACCAGACTGAGTTTACAGTCATGTCCAGAGATGTCACCAAGCAGATTTACCGAGCTTTTGTTTTCAAGCACATTTTGAAAATGGGATTTCTCTTGTTATTATAAAACATCTTCCACAGAAAATAATATATCCTACCTGCAGGGAGACAATTGCCAGGTCTTATTTGTGGGTTCATTATCGCCTACTGAAATTCTGTATTCTCTTTCACTTTCTAATTAGCTAGTGACTCATTATTCTCAGTTTCTCATTCCCTTTCCATCCCCCAAGTAAAACAACACCCTCCATTTCCTCACATTCCCTTCCCCACCCACTCCACAGCAGCACCGGCTGCTCACAGCACAGCACCCTCTGCCCAACATAAACACTGGTGGTCTGTGCCGGGCTGGAATCTGCAACATTCAGAGCTGCACTGCAGTAAGAAAAAACCCAAGTCTTCCTTCTTGCAGCCCAGTCTGACCAAGGAGGTACAGGTGACCATTCCCAAGCACCTGGACCTTGGAGACTTACCAGTCCTAATGAAGATAGCTGGTATTCTGCTTACTTGCCTGTGCCAGACCCTGGGCTGAAATACCTCTCATACATTATCTATTTAATCACTGTAACTGTCCCATGAGATAGGTTCTATTTGATCCCCACTTTCTAGCGGGGTGGGCTGTGGCAAAGAGGTTATGAAGCAACTGAACCACGATCACACTGCCAGAAAATGGCAGAGCAGGATCAGAACTCAGTTATGATTTCAAAGCTCACACTCTTCATGGTATACCAACAGCCTCTGTGGCCCTTCGTTCTAGCTGTTGAAGTCTGCACTTCGTTTCTGGAGTATATACTGAACGCCACAGACTCTCTTTATTCTGCTTTACGTGACTACAAAGCACAGATCTTGTCTTCAGGTGCAATAGTTGTAACTGTCACAACTTTCAAAGTGAGAGGACAAATCAAGCCAAGGATTCTAGATTTGGGCAGTCTTTATACTGTGCTGTTGGAAAATCACTTTAACACTTAAGTATGTAAGAATATTACCTGGGGTTACAGTTAGCTGAAAGCAATGGAGCTTGTTTGGATCAGGAAAATGCACCTTACATGTACCTGCAAAAGAAACAGCACATCAGGAAAGTCTGACAGCTAGCAGCAGCCCTTACGTGGAGGCTAACCTTGAAATACACATGGAGATGAAGGTGCTACAGGAGTCTAGAGATTCCTCCTTGCTCTTGGTTTGACAATAATTGTGCCACTGTGCTTAAACTGCAAATCTGTAATTTTGCCAAACGGGTTTTTATTTGTTAATTCCAAATTGAGATGGTTTCTTTCATCCCTTAAATAGTCACTATTAAGATTTTTCCATTAACTTCAAGAATTATGCTACTTTAGCTGAGTGAAGTAAGTCAATCGGAGAAGGACAAACAGTGTATGTTCTCACTCATTTGGGGAATATGAATAATAGTGAAGGGGAATATAAGGGAAGGGAGAAGAAATGTGTGGGAGATATCAGAAAGGGACACAGAACATAAAGACTTCTAACTCTGGGAAATGAACTAGGGGTGGTGGAAGGGGAGGAGGGCGGGGGGTGGGGGTGAATGGGTGACAGGCACGGAGGGGGACACTTGACGGGATGAGCACTGGGTGTTATTCTGTATGTTGGTAAATTGAACACCAATAAAAATTAATTTATATAAAAAAATAAATAAATAAATAAAATGAAAAAAAAAAAGAATTATGCTACTTTACTTTGAAAAGAGAAAACTACATCTCAAGGAGATTCATACATGTGGGTAAGGCTAACTAAACATGGCAAAACCAGGAGAACCCAGGCCAAACTTCTGAGCTCTTCACCCACTACCATACTTATTCATACCCACCACAGTCAACAGAAGTTCAAAATAAGGGTGCCCATGAAGTTAACTCACGCCCAGAGTTTACCACGGCATTAAGAAAAAGAGGGTCGGGGGGCGGGGAGGGGAAGCCTTCACAACCCAACTGGTAGCTCAGCTAGCTTTGTTGGTGAAATGATGCTCTGCTCAGATGGCAACACCCTATGCCCACTGTACCACACCAGAAGGGTCTGGTAAATCAGGACAAGGAGTTCTCACTCGGAGAAGAGCTAATGGCTAGTGGTACAGAAAAGGAAAGGTAGCTACACCCTACATCTGCTTCCTTCAAAACAATGACACTGAAGAACGGTAAATACACAAGGAATAAATATGCACTAAATCGGGAAAGAATATATGTAGAAATTGTCCATGTTTTATAAATTCAGAAAATATGCTAAACTCCTTGGGTTACCTACTGCCTTTCAGTCCCACTGAAAAGATTTACCTAGTTTTACAATGGTATGAAATTTCATAAAAAATAAGGATGATTCAAATTTAGACTTAGAAATGGCCGTTAGAGATCATCTAGTTCAGTGTCCTCAAACACGAGATAACGCAAAGGCGCAGAGAGGTTCAGCGACCAGCCCAGGATCACACAGGTTATCAACAGAAGATTTTGTTCTCAAATTATAGACTAATTCATGACTCTTCTCCGTACATCATGTCTCATTTCATTACTTCATGAACATGCCAGGTGTGATGCATAAAAGCCACGGGATTTCTTTTTTTTTTTTTTTACCAATCCCTCAGAAAATCATTGTAGAGTAAAAGGTAACAATCTAGAAGAGCAAGAAGGGGTCTTAGTGACTACATTGTCACATCACTTATTTTACAATTAATGAAGCTGGGAGCCATGGAGTTCAAGACTTTTACCCAAACCACACATGTGAACTGTATTTGGAATAATCAGAATGGGTTTCATTTTTCCTAATCTTGACTTGAAATGGTAAGTGCTATCTTTCAGTAAGATATATGCAACAGAAACATAGCACAAGGGCTTGGGAACTGTCTCACTGATTAGCTGAAGTTGGCAGCATTCCTTTGTTTTCATTCTTTCTCCTTTGTTTCAATGAAGGGATAGATACAGAAATCTGCCTCTCTAGAATAGTTTGGCCCACCAATAATAAAGAAGCTATCAAGGTAGTAACAAACAACTACTGAAAAGAACTAAACATTTTAAAGCTCAAAGTCTAATAACAGTAACAAGTTAAAAGTCAGGTTTTTGCTTTACTTCAAAGCTTTTCCTCGGCCTGCAGGCATGGGCTAACATCTTACATCTTGGATTTCCATCTACCTGAAAGATGTATTTTTTGCCAAGAGAGAAACTTCTACAAACCTGCATGTACAGAGTTCCAAACTAGTTCTGAATGATTACTGAGCAGCACTCTGCTACATGGCAAGTTATCTTGTTTTTCCTTAGTTAATACTTTAGAGAGGTTATTAAACAGATACTAAAGATTTATTCTTTGGTGCCTTCTCATTTCCTCTTTAGAGTAATGAATTGTGTACTTTTGGGAAGCATGGCCTACTGGTATGAATTAATTTAGACTTCTCCCACCCACTCTGATGCCCAGAGGGTGGGGAGAAAGTAAGAAGAGACAGATAGTATGTAGTCTTCTTAATCGGATATCTTAGCCATCAAGGCTAGGGAGATGCCTTTTTCAAAACTAAAGTGTTTAGTCAAAATCCTGGTTTGAGGGATGCGTGGGTAGCTCAGCGGTTAAGCATTCACCTTCGGCTCACGGCATGATCCCAGAGTCCTAGGATCAAGTTCCACATCCGGCTCCCTACAGGGCGCCTTCCTCTCTCTCTGTGCCTCTCATTAATAAATAAATAAAATCTTAAAAAAAAAAAAAGATTTTAAAATCCTGGTTTGAGAGTCAATTACACAGTTTAATTGTTTTCACTTTTTTTTGTTTGTTTGGTTTAAGTAGGCTTCCTGCCCAACATGGGGCTTGAACTCACGACCCTAAGTAAGCTCACAAGTATGTGCTCCACCGACTGAGCCAGCCAGCCGCACCCCCAAAGTTTGTTTTTAAACCAAAATTTTAGATAAAGTTAAAACTATCTTCTATGAGCTAAAAATTAACAATTTCTGTAAGAGTCACATTTAAGGACAAAGTGAACCATGTGTAAGTGGCACGTTTTTGTGGTGTTTGATTAAATATAAGCGTGTGTGTGTGTGTGTGTGTGTGTGTGTGTATACCCACCCTTTAAGAGATTCCCAAGACAATTCCTTCCAGTTCTGACTAGAAGAAAACTGAGATCAAGCAATTCAGGGATTTTTAAGAGCCACACTAAGGAACCTATTTTATACCACAAGCCACCACACCCACAGATAAATACCATACATTAAAAATAATTTTTCAAGAAACTATGTGTACTTACCCTTTCAAATGATTTCACAACCACTTAAGGGTCACACCCACTATCATCCTTCTAACTTTAGCTGGTGGCAGGAACGGGCCATTGCTTATCTGTGTCAGGTGGACCAGAGACCAAGCTCTCTAGAGCATTCACTCAGACCAGGAGACTCACGTATAAAATATTTTCACTCACACTGACAAACATCCTCAGCCTCAAAATTATTTTTAACCAAGTATGATGATAAAAATAAATAAATAAATAAATAAATAAATAAATAAATAAATAAATAAATAAAAAGAACCTTTGACACATCACATAAATTAACTGCCTGGTAGGTGAGCTGGAGGACTGCACGGTGGGTCTATGTGTCTGAGTGGGAAGGACGAAACAAGGTGAGGACACCTAGTAAACTAAGGGCAGTGTGGTCACCCCAGCTCATGCATGGAGATACATTACAGGCAAGCGCTTTCCAGACCAAAAAGTAGTACTGTCCCTCATGAAAACAGGACCATCTGTCACTGATTTATAGGTCTTTTCCCTCAAAAAAGATGCAGGACAGAACATTGTGGAAGAGATACAAAACCCAACCAAACCATCTCTGCCACAGCAAGGAGAGAGGAGGCACCTTCATGCTACAATCAGAGATGGTAAATATCTAGTTCTTACCGGAGATTCGACAAAATTCTGTTACCTGTTTGCACAAAATTAAAACTTACTCCCAACACATATGAAAAACGGGCTTTCGGCTATGCAATGTTATTAAAACATAAAAAAAGCTTCTCCATGCAGTTACTTTGCAGCACTTACTGTCTGGGTGGGGATGCTATACTTACACGGTAAATTAGCTTCAAGCTCCGCAACCTCTGTGGAAACAAAAAGACTGCTGTTAGTATCAGTCAAGTCTCTAGGTAAAACCACCAGCTCTAACCTGGCAACTTCTCCCAGAACGCTGAAGTAACTAAAACCTACACTTGTCTAATGTTTAGACTTCAAGCCATGGAATTGTTTTCAATATATAAAGAGACTTGCAGGATGCCAGCAAATATAGTCACAGGCCCCTGAAAATGTACTTAGCATAAATGAAAATCATTTAAAATTCACATAGAAATCCCCCACAGGTAAACAGTCACTGAAGTATTTTTGAAAGTCTTGTTCCCCCACATAGCAGAAGTACTGCTCCTGGGATCTGATTTATATACGCACCTTGTGTCTCTTCCAGTTCTTTCAGACCCGTCTTCCTGTGTGGCTCGTCCAGCGTGTGCTTGAACTTTTCCAGTGAGAAAAAAACTCTGCCTCCTGCTGGGGGCCCCAGGCTCTGCTCTTATCCCACTATCTGTAAACACCTGCCCAATGAAGGGGGGCTTAGAGCCTTGGTCTTTGTATCATCACTCACTGTCTAAACCCACCATCCCTCTGTCAAGACAAGGCTGCAAACCCCCCCACTACAGCTATTAAGAGCTGAGGTCTGGGGGTACCCAGAAATAAGTGGACAGGCAAGTTGTCAGACATAACAGAACATGCTCTGGGGTTCTAGGGGCACAAGGACTCCACCCAGCTGTGGAGACTAGAGGAAGAAGATCTATGGGCCAGGCTTTAAAGTGTAAGTAGGATGATGTCCAGCAGCAGCAGAAAAAAAGCATTCCTAGAAGCTGTTAGTGACGTGCAAAAACACAGAACACAGACAAGCACAGACCCAGAAGGCATGCAGTGCAATCAGAGCAATGGGTACAAAACAGAGCAACAGGAAACAAGGCAGAAAAACAGGGCCAGGATCTCAGAGGGCTCTGGGTGAATGGGTTAGAATTCTAATCTTGAATCTGCAGCAAGAGAGAGCAGAAGGACATTTCTGAACAAAAGTTTCCACACTCTCTTCAAGAAGACAACTTTAGAAAGGGCAAAGCAGAGGTCAGGTGACCTGTGAGGTGGGCACTCCGTGAGGCAGCAAGGACCTAGCAAAGGCAGGGAGAGTTGGAGTGACCTAGCACACAGAGGACAAGCGGGTCTGCCGGCTATGTGGGGCGGGAGGGTCAGAGACAGCAGGGGGCTGTCATGCTGGGGCAGTCCTGGGAGGAGGAAGCTGAAATCTGGGTGCATGGCCAGGGCCCAGGAGTCCCTGAGGTGATGCCACCAGTCTGAGACTGACAGAAGGGAGACTGGTGAAAAGAACGAAGCTCGGCAGACAGTAGAGGACAAAGGCTAGGGGGCCCCTCACGACAAAAGGTAGAAAAGGAGGAGATACATGGGGAACACTGTGATTCAGGGGACAGACTGGTCCAAGGGAAATGAGTCCCCAGTCAAGGCCATCGGATGTGGATCTGATGCTGCCAAGCGCACTGGAAACAGGAAGGCAGGTGGCAAGATGGAAACCAGATTACAGAAAGTACGAAGTAAATGGGGAGCCAGAATACAGAAGCCGTGGATACGACAATTCCTTCATGTCAAGTACAGAACGGCGGGCAGGGGAGGGGAAGGGGACGGCAGAGGTCGTGACACGGCACAGCTGAACACGGAGTACGCTGGTGGGAAGACTGGCAGATGGCTCCATTCTGAGGCCAAGGGTTTGAGAGACCCACGGCCTTTAAGACAGCTGCTCGAGAATCTGGGTACAGACCGGTGACCCACTGAATGTGTTCGCTCTGGGGTCCAGGTATTTAGAAAGGGCACTCAGAGAAGTCATTCGTATTAATCACTTTAAAATAAGTGTTACCTATGTAATTAAACTGTATGTTTTTAAACTGCATTTACATATTTTATTACACTATTACTTAGCTTGTTGGTGAGAACTTAGAAGAAACTGTTCTTGGGGGGCCCTTGTTTTGAGAGACTGATGTCAGAATGGACTTTGCCTGGTGAGCCTGTCCTGCCTACAATTGTGAGAATTCTCTAGTCCAGCTTTAAAAAACCCAGTAAAATAAAAAAAACAGGCCCAGAAGATTTGAGGAGGAAGGGGCCACAAAACAGAAGCAAAATGTTTGAGAAGACCATCTAGTGCCACGGGACGGCAAAGAGCGAGGTCAGGACACAGGAGGACGGCAAGGCACTGACCAGGGGCGTGGTGGTGACCGAGCAACAGAACCAGACCCCTGCAGCACAGGGATGGGACATGGGGAAAAGAGGCTTATGGCCGGAGGAAGCCTTATTATAGGACAGGGAATCTCTGCCCTAGCTGCACATCAATCACCCAGGGAGTTTTCTGCTGGTTTTCCCACCATCCCCCAACCTTTTTAAAAACAGGTTTGGTAAGGTACAATTTACTATAAAATAGACCCACTTTTAGCATATGATTCAATAATTTTTAGTAAAACTTGGAGTTGTGCACTCATCACCAGAATCTAGTACCTGCTAAGCTTTTAAGACTCCTAGTCCTGGGTGGCCTGGGTGGCTCAGCGGTTTAGCCCTGCCTTCAGCCCAGGGCGTGATCCTGGAGACCCAGGATCGAGTTCCACGTCAGGCTCCCTGCATGGAGCTTGCTTTTCCCTCTGCCTGTGTCTCTGCCTCTCTCTCTCTCTCTGTCTCTCATGAATAAATAAAATATTTAAAAATAAATAAAAATAAAAAATAAAATGAATTAAAACAAAACAAAACAAACCCAACTAGTCCTGTGCAGACCCATTACACGGAAAGTTTTACATAGGGCCTACACCTCTGAAGTTTTTACTCTCCCCAGGTATTAGTAGCAACTGAATATTTGGCCATGCTAAAATACCCACACACAGCTATTTACATAGACAGATTTAATGACTTCACATTGTGTTCTAGAACTAAACTCCAAAGGTGAGAGTTATGATTGCATTTCCAGGTTCAGTGTTAGTCAAGGAAAGTGGACAAGGGCCAGGAGAGCCCCACCATAGTCAGGGCCTCTGCAGGCTTCTGGTCCAAGAGCAGGCAAGAAATACAATCCTGGGAGCACAAGAATTTCAATAAAGATACTCAACATTTTAGTTCAGTCCAGTGCAGAAGATATAATAAGCCACATATTTTAATGGAGTTGTCACAAATGACACACAGTTTCTCTGTATGTCAAATGATGGTGTATAAGAATTCATTAATATCAGTGGATATTGCCTTAGAATCTATAATCTACGTACAAGAAGTCTCTGACCAAAGAAACAAGCAAATTGTTTCATATGCTTGACAGGCTTCCTTGCAAAGCAGCAGTCCTTCCCTGTATCACCTCACTGCCTGCAAGACACAACCCCTACCTGTCAAATAGCGAGAAATTCAGATATTTTTAGCCTGCTAAAGTCTCACCTATTCCAAGATGCTAACACCTCTACCCCGTACTGGCCCAGCCTTTCTAGGGGGCACCTTTCACAATTCCGTAGCTGCACAACTTCCTTCTGAGAAATTAGACTCTCTTCCTTTCTAACTAAAGAGCAAACCACAGAGCCCACTTGAAGCATGACTGCACTGAAATATCAGATTACAAAATCCACTGATGACCACAGTGGCCCCCACATGGCACATCTTCACCTCTTTCTGCCAAAGGCTGCTCACAACACAGTACTCTTGCTGTTTCTACACTGCCTGCCACTCAAATCTGCACACTCTTCATGGTAGGGTAGTACAGTCTAACTCAGCCCTGCAACCCGAGTACCTGGCCCTGGGCTTAGCACACACAGGGTACTCAGGAAATGCTTGACAAATTAAGTACATGCGCCAGCAAGCTGGCAGTGCTCCTGCTATGCATGTCCTGAGACGTGAGAAGCCTTTCTCTCTGTATAGTATGGGACTGATGTATTCCACAGTAGCCATTAAAGTGTGTTCCCTGGCAAAGTTCCTATGTTAGAAGCCCTAACCCTGCTCCCCCTCCCATTTGATATCCAGAGGTGGGGCCTTTGAGAAGTGATTAGAGTTAGTTGAAGTCATGAGGGTGGGGCCTTCACATTGTGATTAGTGCCCTTATAAGAAGAGATGCCAGATGCTTGCAAGCTGGTAAGAGGTCCTTGCCAGGAACTGAATCTGCTGATGCCCTGATCTTGGGCTCCCCAGCCTTCTGAACGTGAAAAATAAATGTGTGTTGCTCAAGCCATCCAGTCTATAGTATTTGCTTATGACAACCTGAGCTAAGACAAAGAGTCTATCACAGACACAGATGGTTCTTCGCAAGGGCCAGCTCCAAGCCCCATTAGGCAGGGCAGCTACTTCCCAGAAGACTTGTACCTCCTTCCACCTGAACCACTACCTCTTAGATTCCTTTGACTCGAACTTTCTCTCTTAGCTTTCCGCCTGTCTTTATGCACTGAGCATCCCTTCTGCACTCTCGGCTTCCATGTACAGCGCTCTTATCCAGGATACACTTGAACTAAGGGCATCAGCCCCTCCACAGAGACAGCACTGTCAGAGCTGAGGCCTGAAGACCCCACAGAGCCTCATATCAGCCCTTCCACTCAGGCAAGGGGCCTTTTAGCAGCACACTGCTAAGTGCAGGCCCAGAGCACTCATGGTCCCCTCCACACTGTGAGGGAGCAAGGCTGTAACCCTGAAAGCCAGCATAGCTGCTACAGCAGAGACTTATCAATAGGGTTGGAACCCAAGGCTTCATGCCACCCCCACTTTCAAAAGGAGCTGACAAGGTCAGCTTGAAACCCTGTCTGCCTTCCACAATCCTCCCTGCCCCACTGGGCTACTGGGTACACCTAAGTGGGGCCACCAAGTCTCCTGGGCAGCTTCACTGGTATTTAACCTTTCAACAAAGCATTTTTTAAAGGTTAACCTTGGGTCCAGCTGCCTTAACTCCATTTTAGCAGGACTCTTCCTCTCCAGGCCACTGCTCCAGCTTTTAATTTTATTTTTATTATTTTAAAAGATTTTATGTTTAAGTAAGCTCTAAACCCAACATGGGGCTTGAGCTCACGACCCAGGGATCAGGAGTCACATGCTCTACTGACTAAGTCAGTGAGGGGCCCCTCAAGTTTTTAAAATACATATAGCAATGCTGCTAAGTGCTCTGAATACTTTGCCCACATGGCAAGCCAAGCCCTGAGCCCCCCGCCCCCCCCCCCCCAGAGTCCTCGGCAGGACCTGGCATGGAGAAAGCAGCTCTGGAGAACAATAAATAGTTCTCTTTCCCCCACTCTTCCAGGAACTGCACTGGAATGGGGCCCTTCCTAGCCCATCCCATGACCGAACTGCTCGTGTGGACACAGCAGCTCCCCTGAGGAGGCACCTGGACCCAGGGCACTGCGTATGAAGCACACGTGTGTGGGCAACCAGGGCTCTCTGCTCCAGGCCTGGAGCATGGAGTGCCACATAGCCCAGCCCCAGAACACCAGGAACCACCCGGGGTGCAGGGGCTAGTATGGGTAAAGGTACACACAGACTCATTCCCTCTTATTCCTGATTCCAGAACCAACCCCGAACGCAGGTCGATCAAGTCTCCACATCTAAAGAAGACTAACAGGTGAAAGGTTGCTCCTGCCAGTGAGCCTGGAGCTCCTTGGAGTCTTCAGGGGTCACTAACAGTAGGCTGGCACACAGCAGGGACTAAAATGTCTGTTGAACGAAAAGATGAAAGAACAAGGAGACACACACACTCCCATCATACTACAGTGCTACGCTGCTTCTAGCCAGGACCCTGCTAGGCTTTTTGTGGTAGGTGGGGAGCACCATCAGACTTAGAACTTGATAGACTCGGTGGCCCCACAAAGGTCCACCAGGAACTCTGCACCATCTGCCCTGTGGCTAAAAATACCTGTGATAGCTCCCCAGTTAGGCCCAGCCATGCCCAGATCTGACTCTCCACAGTGGCCCCAGCTCCTAGGATGGTTCTATACCCTCCAGGGGCTGCTGCTAAAAGCATCTCTCCAGTTCCAGTCTGGAGGACATCCTTGAGTTACCTGAGGGGTGCAAATGAAAATCTGGTGTGACCAAGGTGCCAGCACAGTAGAGGCCTCCCCTGGCCAGCTGCTCCAAGGCAGGCTATGGTTTTTCCAAGGAGAGTGGACTCCAGCCTTCCAGAGGAAGAAAAGGAACAGGAGCTACAGCTCTGCACCACTACTGGCCCTCACCACGAGCACCAACTGTCCCTGCCAACCTTCAATCGCCCTCACCCAACAGTTCAATCCTATAGCCATTGCACCAAGCTGGATCCCACACCTTTGGGCTATGGGATATACAGCCCTCCTGTCCCACCCCACCCCAACAGGGCTTTCAGCAGATAGCCTTCAGCTCTGTCTTTCCAGGGGCTGTGGGCTGCACAGACCCCCTCACCCCAGGCTCCTCACCCCTCTCAGGGCAGCCCCTGTGAAAAAATGATCCACGCAGAGCAGGAAAACCTGACCATCTCGCCTGACTGGGGGCTGCTCTGAAGGCTACACCTGCCCTGAGCAGAGGCTGTCCGGGGCTTTCCCCGGAGCTCGATTTCTTGCTCTGTCTGCTCCGGAGTCCTTCATCTCCCTCCACTGATCTCAGTCCCAGGAACACTCCTTTATAACTATCCCAACACCAAAGCCCCTACTCCTAGGACTCCAGCAATGGCACCGAATCCCTAGGCACATGAAACATACTCTTCTCCAACCTAATGATACTCAAGAGTCACATTCCCACATGAGCCAAAGCCACAGTGCAGGATGATGGTCCTGACTATAGCAATCTGGAATTCAACATTTTCTCAGAGTCCCCACAGGGGGCTTCCCCTAGAAAGGACTTCACCATAATCACCCCTCAAGTGCCCCACAAGGCCACAAACTCCTGGACTCCACACACCACTTCCACCATCAGAAATCCCCAGAATGAAGACCTCCCCCAAGCAAAGGAGTGCTGTAGGTGCAGGCCAGGAGATCATGGACCATCAGAGCATCCTTCATTATGCACCTGTTTTTCACAGCTCCCTCTCTCAGGTCAGGCCCACTCTTGCTCTCTACCCACTCTCTACCACATGCCCAAACTGCTCACCACTCAGCCAGCCCAGCCGGGTCCAACAGCCTCCTGAGGCAGGAGGGAGTAGGCCACATGAGGTGGGTGTTACACTGAGCCCTGCTGCCCACAACCACCCCCAGAAACCTGATAATCACCAGTGCCCTGGAGGATGGAAACAGATGACCCCAGGAGGTGGTTGTGCACCTCTCTCTGATGAGAGAGCCAAAGGACCTTAGCAAGGCCCTGTAGACCCAGCCAAACACATGTGTCCGAGGAACCGGGTTGGAGTCTAGCTCTGTGAGCCTCCATGGGCTCCTCTGGGCTGCATCTGGCCCAAGAGCCATTTAAGAGCTGCCAAGTGATCCCCTGAGCATGTGGAAGGTGTGCAGGAGCCCTTGCGCCTTCCTGAGTGCTCTTTCCAGTGGACCTGCACTTCCGTTCTGCTCATTCAGTTTTTGCTTATTGGGTCTGCTCCCCCAAGAGCCTGCCCCACCCCAGAATGTGGGTCTGGCTGTGCTGCTACAATAAAGTTGTAATTTGGGTAGTTTCTTAACCTCTCTGGGTCTCAGTCCCTCAGCTGCAGAATAAAGCACCCACCTGGAAAGGCTTAGCCAAAAGCAAACAAGAACTGCCCCATGAAGTGTCCAACAGAGCGCCTGGTCTCAAGTGCTCCATGTGTAAGAGCTGCTATTAACTATGACAAGGGTATGGTGAAGAGGATGAGACAGTCTACTCGCTGCTTCCCAGCTATTCCTCCTCAGCCAGCACCTGAGCCTTCCTCACTGTAACTCCCAGGCACTAAAACACCCTCCTCCACTTAAGGACTGCGTCAACACATCAAACCCCTTCCCTGGCTTGCTTGGCTCCTGGCTTCCTCCACAAAAAGAACCCTTGAGCGAGCACCTGGGAAAGACACTCAAGTCCTATCAGGCTCATCCGAGTGAGGAGCTGCAGCCCAGGTCCCACACTCAGACCCCTGCAGTGCCATCACAAATTCTGAATTCAATCTGGCATGGTGGGTAATGTCAACACATAGGAAATAATTCTTACTCGATCGTTAGCCAATCATCCATTGAGCTGGATAAACCAGAGCCAAGGCCAGATTCAGAGACAGGGAGAGAATAAGGAAGAGCGCACCGCTGAAGACTCTCTGACCCTGAGACCTTCCTGGTCCCACTCCTGCCAAGCTCAGTGGTGCTGCCTTTCCGAGAAGGACAAGCAGTGCATACACCCGCCCCAGTTCTCCTGCCGTTAGGACTGTGTCAGGACGTACAAGTGCCAGCAAGCTCATGGTGTCTACCAGATATGACACAAACACAGGTGGTCCTAACCAACTGTGTAGCCCTTCTTTGCTTCCTAGCTCCTATTCACTTAAGAAGTGTAAACACACGCCTTTATAAAGTAAAAAGTGCTGCAACTTCTAAGCTCCTTAAGGCAGGAACTGTTTCTTCCTCGTCTGCTGTAGTCCCTTGACCCCAGGAAACTGCCTCTGCGCCCGACAGTTGTAGGCTTGATCAATGAATGAACGCCAGAATTCCATACAAATGCATGCATATGCACACACACTCACACCTGCAAAGACTGCAGCTCCAGGACACTCTGTTATCAATTCTGTGAAGGGAACTAATTTTGTACAAGGCTCTCCTCAGGCTGTGACTTGAATAAAGTACAGAAGGATCCTAAGAGATTACTGAATTCCACTCCCTCCCTTCACAGACTAGAAACCAGCGCTGAGGTGTTGGGAGAGGGACTCTGGAACTCCTAGTGACCGAGCACGAGAATGGAAGACCCTCCCTCCTACGCACCCCAGTCAGATGCTGATAGCACCGGGAGCAGAGTCTCGGGCGTGCGGGCTGTCAGTACCATAATCCTCCCACCAGCACCCTGGCAGCCCCTACAGAGCATATTCCAAGTGCGTAAGACACACCGTTTTCTTGTTGTGAGCATTCCCACAGTACAAAGCCCTTGTAAGTGATAAGTTATTATATTTTAAAATATCTTCAAGTAAGTATTTCTACTCAGCAGCTGGCTGCTTCATATCCCCAAAGAGCCTCCGATCAGACTTCATCTTGTTATAGGAGAGAAAACAGCTCACGTGGATGGCATTACCTTTAACAAGCAGCCTATCTCTCACAGACACCCTCCGAGTGGAGTCGGAGGCTGTGGCTGACGTCCGGGACCCTTTGAGACCGTCCTCCCGCTTCAGCTTGCTTGCCAGCGTCAGCATCACTGCTACCTTTACCCTGAAAGAGACCGAAAGCAGAGTCACGGACACGTCTCTGGACAATGACCGGAAACTGAAGACAGTGATAAAAGGTGCTTAACTTTTTCCTATAATTTAGTTACAGAAAAATTCAGCATATAAGGTACATTCATAAGACTGGATTCTTTATAATTAATTTGGGAAATCTCTATGCCATCCTCCGTAAGTCTAATTTTTCAAAGTATGAAAATTTTAAAAAGGGAGAGCCGTGCATTTAACATTCACTGCGCACCAGGCCTTAGGACACGGTGGTGACAAAGCCCCAGTGGTCTAGGGAAGCTCACGGTCTGGGGTTCCACATCGGGCCACCACTGTCCGCCGGCGAAGTGTGCCCCTCTCTGCTGCAGGCACCACGCTCCTGTGTGTGTGTGTGTGTGTGTGTGTGTGTGCGCGCGTCCCCTGCACCTAGCCCATCGCAGACTGAGGGCAGCATCAGCCCTGGTGAGGAGGGACCAACACAATGCTTTCCTTTCCTTCTTCCTTTAACAAAGGTGTGGCTGGAACCTTAAGAAGCATCTTTGCAGTTATTTATGCTGTGTCTTATTTACATTTTTTAGGCAATATCAACATCGATACTAAGTTATAATTAATACCCCACGCTAGACTCTCTTCACTGGCTGCTTCCAACCCATCTGTGTTTCAGGCACCCCCGGAACTCACTGGGAAGGACAATAAAGACAAAACACACACAAAAAAACTGGTTACCAGCCCAGTATTTCCGTAATTTCATTGTTGCTTTCATACTGTTTCCTTTCAATACTACTCTATTTTCCAAAGAAAACGATTTAAAACTTCCAAATGAAAAACCTGACCCAAACACAAAACTTTTAGTTTGAGGGCAATGTCCTGAAAGCCAAAATAAATAAGAATACCCTTCCCCATTGGTACTTTTACCCATTTTTAACCCTGTTCCTCACATAGCTTCTCACGCCATCTTCTTCTGTGTATCTCCCCCTTCTCCAAAGATTGTCAGATTTTCTATTATTTGTGCCATTAAAAAAAACCCAACAAATTGAATATGATCTTCTCATTATATATGACCCACAAACAAACAAACTTAATCCCTTTAAGAATCACAGTCTAAATGCTTCAAAAGATGGTTCTTTTACACATTACCATTCACAAGCTCCTAAAATTTCAAATCTGGGAAGGACCTTCCCCCCTCCAGCCCCCAATTCCCATTTTTTCTTTCTTTTTCTTTTTTTTTTTTTTTTTTTTAATTTACTGATGTAGATCCTGTGATGATGGGGGTCCAGGAACTGGCTTGTCTGAGGCCACTCAGCTGCCAGAAGCAGTCACCACAGAAACATCAGTTTCCCTCCTAGAGATGATGTGAACATTTTCATCATGAGTGTGGCGAGGATTTCAGGAGTATACTCATCAAAACTAATCTAACTGCATACTTTGTATATATACAGTTTCATGGACCTCAATCCTACCTCAATAAAGTTGACACCAATATGAAAACCAACCAACACTACCATCTTCATTGCCACTCGACCATGCCATCTCCCCAGGCCTACACAGCGGCCTGGACCGTAACCAGCACACATCTCAGTGTTACCCAGGTAGGGAGGCACTGGTGCGGTAACCTCACGAGGCTGGGCCTGGGGGTGGGAATACAGTCAAACACCCACAGGGGCTCCAGCCTGCAACTACCAGAGACAGCAGCCGCACCATCCAGAGCCAGGCTCTCTTGCTCAGCCCCTACCTGGGCCCCGACCTGGAATGATCTTGTCAGGAATCCCTTAAGCAGATCTGGATCACAAACCAGCGTCTGCTGCTGCAGCCAAGTCCACCGCCACACACCCAGGCTTGCGCACATCAGTCCTGCCACGTGGTGAGGCTGCCTAGACATGGACCAAGACATGCATCCTTCACAAAGTCCAATTGTTTTTTATCCGCTAGCTGACCTTGGCAATACAAATAGGGCAAAAAATAAAACAAAAGCCCAGCACGAGCAAAGAGAGCTCTGTAGGTAGTACCCTAGGAAAGTCGTAACAAAGAGCCCCACGGAGAAGCGAGTGCCAGGGCACATGCCTGGTGACCACCCAGCTCCCTGAGGGCCTGCGCGGAAGGAGCCACTCAGAGAGTGCTGGCAAGACCTGGTAACAAAGGCTCACACCAAGACACTCCTCTGTGTCACTGCAAGCTGAGGATTCTGGGGTTTTGGGGTGTTGGGTGGGTGGGGTTGGGGGTGGAGGGAGACAGAACCCCAAGCAGACTCCCTGCTGAGCACGCAGCCCAAGACCCTGGGAGCATGACCTGAGTGGAAACCAGGAATCACTCAATCCACCGAGCCACCCAGAAGCCCTGCTGCTTATTCTTTTATGACCCTACCCCACACTGAAGTCTTCTCTGCGGGAGAATATGCCCCGTACTCAACTCCACTACCAGCCAGATAGATTCCTGGCTTTGCAAAATCTTCAACAAGTTTGTGCCCTTAATAAGTACTCGGGGGCACTGAGTACAAGGTTTAAACCACAGTGACACTCGTGTCTTGCTGTCCGTCGAGGACAATACTAAACTAACTTCCCCAGCGTTTTGAGAAATCTAAGCGTATGATGACCCCCTATCTGTCCTCCGTGTGTATCATGACTGCGGGCCCCTGTGGGGATAAACCTACAGGCCTAACGCGGAAACGACGCGGCGGCTGTTGACTCTCCAGAGAGATCCAAACAAGGAGGATTACTCAGGCCGCCAACGGGTCCGCCGAACACCTGCGGTTGCTCCGGGATTCCCTTTTCCTTCTTTACTACGCTTCACCCGCCGAGACCAGGCTTTACCAGGGAGCTGCCCCTTGCCTGCAAACCACCCCGTGTTAGGGCGGCATTCCTGGGGACAGACGGGCTGCATCAGACAGCATGCTCAGTCTCTAAATCCCACAGGCCCCAATCGGCCCGTTTAAGTTCCTCCTCTGGGTGGGACCTCCTGCTTTCCGGCCGTCCCAGAGAAGATTCCCATGGGCGCGGGGCGCTGTTTGCTAGCCTCATCGTCAAGCGATGATATTTACTCATATTTACTCGGCGACCTCAGGCCGTGTCACCTGTGCAGGGATCCCAGGGGGGCCGGGGAGCACCTCCGCATCTGCAAGTCTTCCTGCTTAAGAGGTAGAATATGGAACTGCGGGTCACTAGGGGGCAACCACCGTCCCTACCCAAAGGGGCCCTTATAGGGACACAAGTCCACTCAGCTCCGTCCTTTACAAGGCGAGGCCGTGGTGGTGGTGGTGGTGGTGGTGGTGGTGGTGGTGGTGGTGGTGGTGGTGGTGGTGGCGGCGGCGGCGGCGGCCTAGAAACCTCCCTCACCGCCCGGGGAGTCGCCCCAGTTGGCTGCCCCACCCTTGGGGAGCCCGACCCTTGTTGGCATCATTAACCTGGCCCCTCCCGCATCACCTACTACCTGGGCCGCAGGTAAGTGTGGGGGGAGCTCCTCCAGCCGCCCGCTGAGCACCCCCCAGGCTGCTGACGGACCATGTGTCCCCCGCCACCCCCGTCATCCCCAGGCACCACCTTGCCCGTTTCTGGAAGCTTCTGCTCAGCCTGATGGTTCCCAGGGCCGGCCTGCCCTCCTTGCGCTCCGCCCGCTTCCTAGTCGGTCCTCGGGGCAACCGCGGGCTCCCACCCGGACTCTCGGGCGGCTGGGCCCGGTCCTGCCCGCACCCAGGGCCGGAGGGGATGCGGGGGGTGGGGGAGGGGAGGGGATGCGGGGGGCGGGGGAGGGGAGGGGATGCGGGGGGTGGGGGAGGGGACGGGATGCGGGGGGCGGGGGAGGGGAGGGGATGCGGGGGGCGGGGGAGGGGAGGGGATGCGGGGGGTGGGGGAGGGGAGGGGATGCGGGGGGTGGGGGAGGGGACGGGATGCGGGGGGCGGGGGAGGGGAGGGGATGCGGGGGGCGGGGGAGGGGAGGGGATGCGGGGGGTGGGGGAGGGCGCTCATGTGACAAACGAGGAAACTGAGCCGGGGGCGGGCAGGGCCGCGCCCAGGATCCCACCCGCGGCCCCGCGGCCCCGCCGGGCTGGTGACCTTGGGCTCCGTTTCCCTGCGGCTCCCCCGCGAGCCAGGCCGTGAGCGCGGGCGGCGGCGGGCGGCCCCGGGAGCCCCGCCGTGGGGCCCGGCCTGACGCGGCCCCGGCCCCGCCCGCCCGCCCGCCCTCGGGACCGCCCGCGGCCGCTGCTCACCTGGGCTCCCCGAGACAGGCGAGGCGGGCCCGGCGCCCAACACCATGCCCGGCCGGCGGCGGCGGCGGCGGCGGCGGCGGCGGGGAGACGCGGCCCCTCTCGGCCGCACCGGCTCCGGGCGGCGGGACCGGAAGTGGCGGGGCGGGGACTCGGCCGCTCTCGCCCGCCGCGGCCGCGACGGCAGCGGGCGCTTTAAAAAAAAGATTCAAAGCGGCGGCGAACTTTATTTGGATCCTGACAAGCGGACAGCGGCGTGCGCCGGCCGGGGCGGGGCTCGGCATGGGCCGCCCGGACCTCGCTCATTGGCAGAGGGCGCGGCCCGGGGCGGGCCCAAGTCTGGCCGCCCCTGCTGATTGGTGGGTAGCGGTCGGGGGCGGGGTCGCCCCGGGTAGTTTTTTTTTTTTTTTTTTCCTGAGCCTGCGCACGCGCGTTGGGGGAGCTCGGAGCTGCGTTCGTACCTCCATTCATTTGCGGGGTGCTCCTCGCCTGCATGTGCGGCTCCGGCGCTGGGCGCTGGAGGAGCAGCTGGGTCCGCGCTCCCCGCCGCGGTGGCTGGGGCGCCCGCAGTGTGCGCCGCACGGAGCCCCGGGTGCGGGAGACCCGGCGTCGGGTGGGGGCGGGGCGTGCAGCAGCCTCCGAGCTCCCGCAGGTGCGCTTGGGGCAGCCCGCGGGAGTGCCTGGACCCTTTCCTCACCTTGTCTGCAAGGCTTTTTTTTTTTTTTTTTTTTTAAGATTTTTATTTATTTATTCATTTATTCAAGGCAGAGGGAGAAGCAGGCTCCATGCAGGGAGCCCGACGTGGGACTCGATCCTGGGTCTCCAGGGTCACGCCCTGGGCTGCGGGCGGTGCTAAACCGCTGAGCCCCCTGGGCTTCCCTGCAAGGCTTTTTATTCCTCTTTTCGCCTCCTGCACATTTGCAAAGGGCTTTATCTATCTCTAGCTGGCTGAAGACAGATTCTTACGTCCTGTGACACCTGGGTGGCTCAGTGGTTGAGCATCTGCCTTTGGCTCAGGTCGTGATGCCTGGGGTCCTGGGAGCAGGGAGCCTCCTTCTCCCTCTGCCTGTGTCTCTGCCTTTCTCTGTGTGCCCCTCATGAATAAATAAATACATTCTTAAAAAAAAAAAAAGATATCACGCCCATTGGTATCTCTGTAATTGGAATAGGCGCTGGGCTGGGGGACTGAATCAAGGAGGCTTCTGGAGGAATGGGCCCTCTGAAAGATGAGGCTCTCCACGTGGACCGGGAAGAAGGAGCCAAGGAATTAGAATTTTATTTCCAGAAGCTCCATTGAATGGTTTTAAAGAGGGGAGTGACTAAGTTTTCTTTCTAAAAGAAGCTTCTGGCTCTCATTGAGCTCGTGGGAGGGGAGCCAGGCAGGGAGTCAAGAAGACCAGTGAAGAACCAACCCATGGTATTCCTTCTGTTCTGGAACACTGCCCTCCTTCTCCGCCTGGCTAGCTCTTGTTTTCCTAAACTTAGACACCACTTGCTCAGAGAGGCCCCACAGTCTGGGAGGTGCAGGTGTCCCTCAGCGGCTTCACTGGTGTTGTATGCTTCCCCCTTAGTGGGGGTGGAGACTCCTGCCACTGCCTGTTTCCCTAAGTCCAGCTCCGGGGCTCCTCCTCTGCCATGGTCCCCATCCTTCTATCCCCTCCCCCTCCCCCAGGCTGTCACACAACAGGTGGCCAAAACCCATCAGCTTGATAAGTATGGCAGGCACTTGTTGCAGGAGTCCTGGCCAGAGAAGATAAGACCTTGGAGCAGGGCAGCAGGTGAAGGTGCAATTAGAAGGACTCGAAGGCTTGTCTCACTCACCAAGGGGCCACTCCATGCAGGACGGGCTCCAGCACCCAGTGCTCCACATCCCACCATTGTGGTAAACGCAGCCACTTCTAGCTCCATGTCACCGGCTGCCTTTTGCCTTCACCTGATGCTTATTTCAGGCCTACTGGATTGTTAACTCCTGTACTCAGTTGTTAATCCCTTACGGTGCCTAATTTATGAATGAAATTTTATCCTAGGTATGTATGTGTATGAGAAAACAGTCTATGCATCGTTTGGTAGAATCTGTGGTCTCAGGGGGGGGTCTTGGAACATATCACCTGCAGATCAGGGGGGACTACTGTATCCCCGTTTCATAAATGCAGAAACCGAGGCGCAGAAGCAGTCTGCCTGACATGGAAGGGCTGGGATTTGCCCCCAACCAGTGTACCACGCCCCTTAGCAGCGGGAAGGGCGTAAAGTTGACCTGCATGCTTCCTGAAGAAGCAACCTGTCATCATCCAGGGCTGCTTCAGAAATGGAATGTGTACTAGCTTAAGCACAAGAGTTGGAGAAGACTGGAGTGCTCACAGAAGCCGGGGAGGCCAGCTCTGGGGACCTGGGGGCAGCATGAGGAGCTTGTCCTGTGCGGGCCTCTTGTTCCTAGTGGCTCCATCTGACTCTTGGCCTCTGGAGGCTGGCCAGGTCCTCCCAGAGGCCTCCTTGGAGCTGGGGTCTGGCCTCAGACACACCTTTACAATCCAGGCCATGAAAGGGGCCGCTCCTTCCTTCCAATCTCATGTTCTCTGGGAAGACTGGCTGGTAGGTGGGCAGAGGTTCTGCTGAGAGCCTCCCAGAGGGGAGCAGGTGCCAGAGGAAGACCAGGTAGACAATTCACCAGGTGTCCTTCGCACCCCCTGCACCCTTTGTCCGCCCTCTGTTTTCAGCTGGGCCTGCCTCTGGACATACAGGCTGCACGGCTATCCCAGAGGCTGTCCTGGCTTGGCCTGCGGCTCACCGACCTGGACGACACAGCGCTGGCAAGCCAGGGACCTGGGCACCCTTCAGCCTAGGGCAGTGTGCCCTCTGATTAACCACGCCTGTTGCAAGGGCGGGGGTGTGAGGCCTCCTGGGCAGGAGAAGGGCCCTCTGCTGGTAGAGCCCCGGAGGGGCAGCCTTCCCTAGCCGCCAGCTCCATGTTTTCTTCTCACTTGCTGTGGATGGAGCAGGGCTCTCCTGCATCAGCGGTACCCCATCGGGGTAGACATTCCTGGCTCTGTGTTTCCATAAGAGGTAAAATCTACAGCCTGGATGAGTTGACATGAGAGCCAGGCCCACGGGGTCCAGAGCTCTTGCTCTCCTGCCTTGTACTGTCCTGGCAAGACCTTCACAATGTTCCCAAGCCAGCCCCTTGCCTGGTTTGGGAAATAGCCCTGGAGATACTCGATATGGAGTAGATGTGGGCGCAAGGGTCTAGCTGAGCGCTTAGCTGATACCTGTTCCAACCTGTTCTGTGCTGTTCCAGGCTACTCCGAGGTGTGCATCCTGCCCTGCAGCCAGGCCTGGTTCCCCCAGGAGCAAAGCCCAGGGCACTAGAGAGCAGGCCTTGACACACACAAGCCCTTTGTTCATTTTTTTTTAAAGATCTTATTTATTTATTCATGAGAGACATAGAAAGAGAGGCACAGACACAGGCAGAGGGAGAAGCCAGCTCCTCACAAGGAGCCCAACATGGGACCCGATCCCAGAACCCCAGGATTATACCCGGAACTGAAGGCAGATGCTCAACCACTGAGCCATCCAGGCGTCCCAGGCCCTTTGTTCCTATGGGTTTTCTGAAATCTATTCCAACAGGTCAAGAACTATATGATGAGCATCTATCAAGGGCAGAGAGCCTGAAAAGGACAGCGTAAAACTGTAAAGCCTGGTCCCCCAAAGCATGAGCTCCCCAGGGAACTACTAGTAGGTAAATACCACAGATGGGAGGGGGGAGGTGTCTAACCGATGCCTGAGGTTTGCTCTGCATGAAGGAGACCCGTCTGTCCCACTGGATTTTAGAGGCTAATGGGAGGAGAATGCTGGAGAGCAGCTCTGCTGACCATACCCCTTGCCTTGGAATCCAACTGGAGAGGCTGCAAAGGCTGACAACAAAACCCAAGGCCTTGCTGGTGCTTTCTGTTGCCTACGGTGGAGCCAGGGGTACTTAGAGACAGCTTCCATGTTTCTAAAAAGCTTTATTGGGGCTTTCAGGGTGAAAATGCCCTGGGTCTAATCTGGAGAGGGGAAGTTGAGGCAGAGATGAGCTCAGACAGAGTGGCTAGAAGTGATTATGGGGACCTGGGCGAGTTGTCTTAACCAAGACCCATGGGCAGCTTTGCTGACCCAGTTCTGGGATCCTCCGTGGCATGAGGGAGGGGGCAGGCTCCATGCCCTTGGGCCAGATGGGAGCTCTGATGATGATGATGATGATGATGATGTATCCAGACAGCAGACAATTAGAGTCTAAGTACTGTGACATTAATTACATATCTGGTATAATTAACTTTTGACTGCTCTTATAACTAGCCCCCAGGGAGAACATCAGTTTCCTTTTATTCCTTCGAAATATAATAAAACGGGTCTGTGACAGCTGTCCTGGAAAAGGACTGAGACAGAGTAGTGTTTTAAATATTATAGGATTGAGATTTTCTTCATTCACCCTAAAGCAACACTGGGCACATTTTAACAGGGGTTGTGCATTGTGACTGGGATGGAGACATTTTTTTTTTAAGATTTTATTTATTTACTCATGAGAGATGTACAGAGAGAGAGAGAGGCAGAGACACAGGCAGAGGGAGAAGCAGGTTCCCTGCGGGGAGCTCGATGTGGGACTCGATCCCAGGACCCCAGGGTCATGACCTAAGCCAAAGGCAGACGCTCAAGCACGAAGCCACCCAGGTGCCCCTGGAATGGAGACATTTGTAAAGGATCCCCTGGCCCCCCTGCTGCCCCTGCAGGCTGTGCTCATGTGATTCTTCCCGCCTCCAGGCTGCCCATCAGATCAGGCCCCAAAGCTGGCAAAGCTCAGAGTGAAGCTGACTTCCTCCAAAGCCTTTTGCTTATAATTTCTTGCTGAAATGTACGGAAATGGCCACCAGCCTATATCATTTCATATTCTTTTGTATTAGTCCCTTACCAAGGCTGATTCATATTTTCAGGTGTTTCTAGGCCGCTGATGCAAAGTGCTACCTTCTAAAGTTAGTTCTGGGGACGCCTGGGTGACTCGGTGCTTGAGCATCTGCCTTCAGCTCAGGGCGTGATCTCAGGGTCCCAGGATTGAGTTCTCCCTCTACCCAGGTCTCTGCCTCTCTCTGTGTCATGAATAAATAAATAAAATATT